GAGGCTGCGGGGTGCGTCAAGTTGGGCTGCGCTCGGCCGCTCGGGGGCTAATCAGGGCGCTTTGAGGCCTCGCCTGGCGGAGCCTCTTAAAGGGCCAGTAGGCACGGCGCCGACTCCTCCTCCTCCGCCGAGGGAGAGATTCCCTGCTCCGGCCCGACCGGCTTCGGCCCCGCCCCAGTTGTCATGGGGACGGGGGCAGGTTGCTAAGGAAGGGGTTAAGGACCATCTGGGCAGCCACTTGCCTCAGGGCGAGGTGCACCATGTTCTTAGCATCCTGCAAACCCGGTGGGAAAGTTTCCCGGTTATAGACGGGATTTAGGGCCCTGGACACCCCTCTGTGCCTGGTCCTGCTCTGAGACAGGGCAGAAACTGCGCTCCCTGCTGTGCAATGAGGACATGGACGATGTGCAGGACCAGGAGGCTGGGATGCTCTGAGGCTAAGACCAAGAGGCTGGTCCGACTGGGGCTGGGCGAGGAATTGGGCTGGAGGCATTTGGGCAAAGGTGGTGCGACAGGAAGGCTGCTAGGGCCTCGTGAAGCTGGCGGGGCAGGAGGTTTTGCCCTTGGATGTCGGGGACCCCCCGGGCATATCCTGGTCTTCTCGTGGTCTGGGCTGAGGCTGCCTCTGCCCCCAGAATGCCAGGAGCAGTCTCTGGATGCTCACGATAAGCCCATTTGTTCCTAAACAAGCTGTGAGACATCACCTCCTGCCTCATCTCCACTCTCCCCCTCCTCCTGCTTCCTCCATGTTTTTCAAATACATCCGTTTCATTCATTCCCACCGCTGGGTCTTTGCACTCGCTGTTCCCTCCACCGGCCTGGCCTACCCCGAGACTGTCTGCCTGGCTCGCTGCTTGACCTCCTTCAGGCCTTTGCTCAAATGTCACCTTCTGAGCGAGGCTTTCTCAGGCTTGTACCCCACGTCATACACCCCGTCTTATTTTTTCTCCATATCTCCTTTTCCTCCACATGACCTGTTTGCTTGTTTTTAATTGATTTGAGGGGGGGGGGGAGAGAAACCTCGATTTGTTGTTCTACTTATTTGTGATTCATTGGTTGCTTCTTGTATGTGCCCTGACCGGAAATGGAACCTGCAAGCTTGGCATATCCGGACGATGCTGTAACCAACTGAGCTACCTGGCCTAGGTGGTGACCTGCTTGTTTGTTTGTTGCTGTATTCCCAGCACATACAACAGTGCCCACAGGAGCTGCTTAATACATCTGCATTGACTCCTGTACTGTTCTGAGAACATGGGTGTGGCTAAACATGGAGTTACCATGCAATCCAGCAATCCACCCAAGACAACTGAAAACACTTGTCCACACAAAAACCTATGCAAGAATGTTCACAGCAGCAGAACTGACAAGAGCCAAAAAGTAAAAACAACCCAAATGCCCATCAATTGATTACTAGATAACCAAAATGTAGTCCAACAGAATGTCATGTGAAACAATAGAGTATTATTGGCCATAAAAAGGAATATACTGCTGACTTATGCTACAACAGTGGTGAATTTTGAAACATGATGCTCAGTAAAAGATGCCAGTCATGCCCTGGCTGGAGGGCTCAGTGGTTAGAGCACTGGCCCGACTAACCCTAACTCTCCCTCTCCCCCTCCCTTCCTTCCACTCTCTCTAAAAATCAATGGAAAAAAATATCCTCGGGTGAGGATTAACAACAAAAAGAGAGATGCCAGTCACAAAAGGCCACATAGTGTATGATTTCATTTATATGAAGTATCCAGAACAGGCAAATTCAGAGAGACAGAGAGTCGACTCGTGGTTGCCTGGGGATAAGGAATGAATGGGTGGTTCTTTCACAGGTTTTGGTACCAAAAAAAGAAAAAAGGATTAATGGGGAGGGGAATAGGCGTGACTGCTGATAGGATGAGGTTTCGTTCTGGGAGATCAAAATGTTCTAAAATTAGACTGTGGTGATGGTTGTATAACTTTGTAAATATACTAAACACCGCGGAATCATACACTTTAAATGGGTGCATTCTATGCTACGTGGTTTAAACCTGTCTAAAAGGATGAGTGAGCCCAGGCGTCTTGACAGACCCAGAGTCCTGTTCGGCTGTTTCTCAGCTGTGTGTTCTTTCATGCCTCTCTCTGCTTCATTAAAGACAATATAGGTCACATTGAGGGCAAAGACAACTATTCAAAATTTCTAATTACATTCTCTCTTTTTTTTTTTGAATTCTCATCGGAGGATGTTTTTCCATTGATTTTAGAGAGAGTGGAAGATTTTTTTTTTTGAATTCTCATCGGAGGATATTTTTTCATTAATTTTAGAGAGAGTGGGAGAGAGAGGGAAAGACAGAGAGAAACATCAATGTGAGAGAAACATGGAAGGGTTGCCTCTCATACACACCCCGACTGGAGATTGAACCCACAACCTAGTGCCCTGAGCAGGGAACGAACCAGCAACTTTTTTGGTGTGTACAGGATGACACTCCAACAGACTGAGCCACCTAGCCAGGGCTATAGTGTTCCTTTTATTGTTCTCACTAAAGTTCTCATTTCATTTTCAAATATGAGCCAGGTGAAAATTCCCAGGTGATAAGTGCACGTATTTCATTTTGTTCACTTATCATAAGCCACTTTCTTTTTCCTTTGTACTCATTGACTGAGCAGTGGTGAGCGTGTCCACCCGCATATGGGAGGGTCGGAAGTTTAATTCCTGATCCAGGGCACGTACCTGGGTTGCAAGTAGAGCCTTGGGTGCACTGGGGAAGCAACCAACTGATGTGTTGCTCTCACATCAATATTTCTCTCTCTCCCCCCTCCCTCTCTCCCTCCCTTCCTCTCTCTCTAAAAAATCAATGGAAAAATATCTTCGGGTGAGGATTAACAAAAATTTTGAAAGTATAAATCAGCATATTTTAAAAAAATTCTGGGTAAGACTTGCAAGCTGGAAAACAGGGAAAGACCCACCCTCTGAGCCCCACCTCTTTTGCTTGATTGACAGTCTGGTGTTACCATAGAAACAGTTTTTCCACTCCCAATGTACCACACAAGGAATTCAGGGCTCTTCCTGCGCATCAAAAAGAAATGAATGGCTTTGAGGGCAGTTTGGGAAAACAGTCTGTAGCTCCTTGGCATCAAGAGAAGTGCTTTGCACCCCCGCCAGCTGGCTCAGTTGGTTGGCGTGTGAGTCACCCAAACACCAAAAAGGTTTCAGGTTGGATTCCCTGTCAGGGCACATACCTAGGTTTCCGGTTCAATCCCTGGTTGGAGTTCATCCGGAAGGCAACCCATCTATCTTTCTCTCCTCCCCTCTTCTCTTCTCTCTTCTCTCGCCCTCCCCCCCCTTCCTCTCTCTCTAAAATCATTAACATACCCTCAGGGGGAAAATGCCTTGCATCTGCGAGAATGGCTGTCAGCAAGAAATCAACAAACAAGTGTTGGGGAGCATGTAGAGAAAAGGCAACCCTGGTGCATTGCTGGTGGGAATGCAGACGGGGCAGCCTCTATGGATAACAGTATGGAGGTTCTCAAAAAATTAAAAATGGAACTACCTTATGACCCAGTGATTCCAATTCTGGGTATATATCCAAAGAAACCCAAAACACTAATTTGAAAGAATATATGTTCATTGAAGTGTCTTTTTTTTTTTTTAACAATAGCCAAACTATGCAAGCAACCCAAGTGCCCATCAATAGACAAATGGATAAAAAGGCAGTGGTACATATATACAATGGAATATTACTTGGCCATAAAAAGAATGAAACCTGCCCCAGCTGGTTTCCCTCAGTAGATAAGAGTGTTGGCCTTCGGACCAAAGGGTCCCAGGTTCTATTGTAGTTGAGGGCACGTATCTTGGTTGCAGGCTCCTCCCCGGGTTGCAGGAGGTAACCAATCGGTGTGTTTCTCTCACATCGATGGATGTTTCTCTCTGTCTTTCCCTCCCTCTTCCACTGTCCCTAAAAATCAATGGAAATATAGCCTCAGGGGAGGATTGAAAAAAAAGAAGGAGAATGAAATCTTACCATTTGCGACAGCATGGGTGGTCCTAGAGAGTATTAAGTGAAATAAGTCAGTCAGAGAACAGCAAATACCATATGATTTCACTACGAGCAAACAAAACAGAAACAGACTCATAGATACAAAGAACAGACTGATGGTTGCCAGAGGGGAGGGGACTGGGTGAAAAAAGTGAAGGTATTGAAAAGTATAAATTGGGCCCTGACCGGTTTGGCTCAGTGGATAGAGCGTCGGC